GGATCATCACGGGTCTGCTTTCCCGTTGCTATAGAGACCATTCTGGCTTCTCTCCTCTCCCTTTCCCTCTTCCCTACTCTTTCCTCCCACCATATTTCTTAATTTGCTACATCATTCCACTGTTGTCATGGGGACGAAATGACCATTTATTTAACTGGCACCTCCAATAAAGTGGCAGCTGAGAAATCCGAGTTAATGGGACCCAAGTTGAAGCAGTGATGGGGAAGAGCAGAGCAAGTGCGTGGTCTGGTGGTTTCAGATTTGCCATCTCTCTGGGCTTCGTCTTGCAGCAGATATCCCCAGTCTAGAAATTCTTTCACTGAGGGACAAATCAGCATCTTAAATCAATGTACACAAAAGAACCCACCGGAGCGATGTGGACTTTTTAGGTAACAGAGAAAATAGAGTCATTCTCTTGCTTTTGAGGAGCTCTCCAAGGTTTTCCTGTACTCACAGACATACCTGAACCACCCGTGTTTCATAGATGCAAACATTTAAAGCGGGTAGCTCTATCTGGAGGGTTGTGTTTCTGACAACGTGCTCCTCGTTTTCATCATCCTTTGCTCTTGTTTCCCACACACTCCTGGTCTTGTAGTGTGTGATGTGGGGAGAGAAAGGGGAATGGACTCTGGCTGCCCTGCCTGTGCCCGCAGCCCTCCCCTGAGCTCCCGGAGGCCTGGCTCCACCAACTCCCAGCACCTAACACATGTCTTGGCACGTTGCAGGTGATCCATACATATCTACTGATTGAGTGATAAAAAGGGGGCTCTCAAGGGAAAAAGAAATATATTCACGAATGGTATCTGAGCAACACCCCCAAAAGAGAAGCCGATTTGTAATGTTAGATATAGCTGTTTCTGAGCATGATGGTTAAGATGTGGTGGTGTCAGCAGACATGCTTAGGAAAGAATAAAAATGCATAACAAGGGCTGAAATCGCAGCAATTAGAAGTGGAAGAGCTCTTAGTAGGTTTCAGCATTTGTTTCGAAGATGTGGAGACTGAGGTAGAAGGTGGAATAGAGGGTCTAAGACCCTCCAGGCTGTGGTGGAGAAAACACAGCTGCAGCCCAGGTCTCCTGACCAAGCAGAGGCCTCTTCACCTAGCCCCGCTGGTCCCACTGTTAGGGGAAGAATTCCAGCACATCCCCGTGGGCATGGGTGACAGGACCTGCTGCTGTGCAGGAGGCCCGGATCTCCGCAGACTTCCTTCACCCCAGGAGAATCGCCCTCGGCACATTCTGTTGCTCTCATTTGAAAACATGTCTTGAACCGGAGAAGTTTCCTAGAGCTGTTCCAGAAACCACGGAGAGATGCTGGTAACAGCTGCCTGCGAGTGCACACACGTCACCACAAGCCAAATCACAGCCATTGGGAGGCTCCAGTCCTGCAGAAAACAGCAACTCAGGAGACTGAGGAAACAGCTGGGGGTGGGGAATTAAACTGACCTCCTCAAAACTCACACGTTGAGAGGACAAGCTGGAATCACCCAAAGGAAGTGAGGCAGCCAGGGAGCCGGAGCCCTGAAGTCTCGCCAGGTAGGCGAGTAAACTAAAAGCACGGCCCCATGCAAGGCTGGGCGAAAAGGTTGGGGGCACAGCTTCATCCTTCTGTCACTCTCCCTGGCTTCTCTGTCCAGCAGGCTTTACTCATGAATAACACACACCCTCCCATTGTCTACATGGGGAATCACGGTGTTGCGGTCCGGGAGCCACACGCCTGGAGTCGAGTTCCCCGGCAAATGCGACCCGTGTCCCTACCAAGGACACCCGAGAATCACCAACACCAAGTAGAAAGATTAGCAAAGGATTTATACAAGTATAGAAGCTTACACAAACTGTCCGGACAGGGTCCCACTCGGAGAGAAGTGAGTGAGACCCCGACTAACAGCCGGGCGAGGCTTTTATACCCTTCACAGGGCGGGAAGTCCCCAAGGCGGGAGGGAGCTGTTTAATTTTGAATCAGCCAATCAGGAACCCGGTTCTTCCCGCCCCAAGCAAGCAAGCAAGTTTCTTACAGAAGCCAAAATGTGCTGTTAGCCCTGAAGCTGTTCTTCCGTTTCTTTCGTCACAACAGTGTAGGAGAAAATGCTCTGCGTTTGAATACAAATAGACCTGGGACAGAATCTTGCTGTGGGTGAACTTGGCTGAGTGGTGAAGCCGCAGTTTCCTCCTCTATAAAATGGGCATAATTAGAGCTGCCAGTTTGTCAAGGAGATTAAAGGACACAGCTTCTGTGACTCCAGGTCGGTGCCTGGCAAGAGTCAGCGTGCAGTGACAGGTGGTTTGGCTAGTTTCATCATCAGGATGGGTTTTGATGGACAGTGACCTTAGGGGTGCTCACACACATGGGGGTGGCTGGCTGGGCACCAGGCCAACTGGGTCTCTGTCACCCTCCCCCTGGCATGGCTAGCCCATGCTCTCACGGAGCACACTGGCCACAGGTATGAGTAGTAAACTGACATCTTTGACTCTGATCATCCCTGAGTGCACGTGAGTTCATTGTTCTGCGGCAGTGGTCTGTACCAGTTCTCAAAAATTGAGTGTATCACCAGGAAGTGTGTATCAAGTCACCGGGAAGATTCATTAACACACAGATTGTTGAGTCCTACCCCTGGAGTTTCTGATTCTGTAGGTCTGGGTGGACCCTAGACTCTTGCATTTTTTTTTTATTGAAGTATAGTTGATTTGCAATATTGTGTTAGTTTTAGGTGTGCAGCACAGTGATTCATTTATCCACGTGTGTGTGTGTGTGTATACATTCGTTTTCGGATTCTTTTCCCTTATAGGCTATTACAAAATATTGGGTATAGTACCCTGTGCTATACAGTAGGTCCTTGTTGGTTATCTATGTTATGTATATAGTAGTGTGTATATGTTAATCCCAGCCTCCTAATTTACCCCTGCCCCCACCCTGCATTTCTAACAAAAGTGTCCTGGTGCTGCTGGTGTGGGGTGTCCCCACTTTGAGGACCTGTTGGCCGAGCATAGGGGCCAAAAAAGCCCCTATCCATCCCTCAGTCTAGAGTGTATCCTCATTACTTAGAAGCAAAAGGTGTGTGGGTCCCTCCTGCCACTCAGAGGGGCAAGTTACACTCTTGCCACAAATTCTGTTGGCACCAAAGTCATCTAACACCACTGTCACCTCTCTGCTTGCCAAGGTGCTTGTGAGGAAGGCAGAGGATCCCTTATCCCCGTCCCGACCCCACTGAGCCTCAGACGAGGCATGTTTAATGTCCGCGTCTGCGTCCTCATCCGTAAAATGTGAAGCAGAAGTCCTGACCTCCCGCAGAGAGAGAGTTTGCAGACTGGTCGGAGGGTGACAGTTGGCCGCAGCAGTAGTGGAATTTACAGATTTCTATTTATAGAATAAGAGGCGATCACCCTTCGGGCTGAAATGGATTTGTCATTGTCCTCCCAGGCCTCTCTTTCCACTTCGCCAATAGACTGCACACACTGGACCCGTCTGTGAATTGATGGGGCAGGGGGGTGAGGGGTGCATCTCCAGGGGATATGGCAGACTTGGTGGAATAGAGCCTACTTTTGCCTGTCCCTCCTCTGCTGGTGGAGAGGCTGTCCACTCACCCCACAGTACCGTCTTTTAGGAAGAGCTTGTCCCCTCAGCTCTGGCCCTTTGGAGGAGTGGACCTTGGCAGGCCTGGCGCTGTTTCCCAGTCAGCTGGCCTCGCGAGCTGGGAGTGCAGTGAGACAGGCATCAGATGGGAGTGCTGAGTTCTCCCCGTCTCAGCTCTCAAAGCAGGGCCTCCAGCCACAAGCAGTGTGGTCTCTCTACCCTGGCCCTTTCCATTTCCCTGTGTGCCATGATGGAAGCGGGTTGGAAAGTACCTGCTGTTGGCCATTTGGTCTGGACCATCTGGCAAGTGGGAGTTGCCTGAGGCGGAGCACGCAGGCTGGGGAGATGTCGGGGGGCGGGGAGAGTTCATTTCGGGACTGAATTACTTTTGTCTGGCACCTTCCTCTTGGGTGAGGCTCACAAGTCGGTGGTGGGACCAGCAGAAGAAGCTTCCCACCGCCTGAATGAGGGAAAGCGTAGCTTTGTGATGATTTTCTAGGGGTCCTCCTGTGCAGACCCGGGCTCTGGTCCCTGCTGAGCGTGTGTTCAAGGGGCAGGAGGACAGGGCTGAGCTCCGCTTAGATCAGAGTGGGATGAAGGAAGCTCTCTAAATGGGCTCAGAAACCAGATGGAGTCCCTCTTTATCTTTAAAAACCACTTTTGCCTCTACAGTCCATTCCAATTTAGAGGGAGGGACGAGTTACCGGGGAGCATGAAATCGGAGATGACCATTAAGCCCTATTTCCTCCGACTTCCCTTTCCACCAGCGCTGGTCCTACCACCCTATTCATTCTCCCAAGGAGGCCTTCACTGACTGCAGTCCTGCCTCTGTGCCCTGCTTCTCCCCAGATGCTCATGGGAATGCTGATAAACTGTAGAACCCCTAACAGGCAGAGAGAATGGGGGAGCAGGACCACCAGGGGCGAGACAGCAAGCCCTGATGAATTGGGCTGTTGTGTGAATTAGTTGTCCTTTGTTAGAAGAGGAGGAATTGCTACGAGTATGCCTTTCAGAGAAAAAGTTCCTTTCGTGCTTGTCTCCCACCTGACCAGGAGAGAGACTGTGCATCCTTCATCTTTCAAGCCAAAATGCACATGTGGCAGTTTCCCTCTTAGCTGCACAGACGGTCGCCTTTTTCAGATGTCTTGAATGCAGCCCATTTCCCAAAATGAAGACATTGCCCACAGAAACTGGTCTCTGCATGGGCTGAAAGGGCTCCATGTAAACCTAATGGTTTTCTCCCCCCCAGGTTGACAGAATCTAGCTTGGACTGTCCGACGCAGGCGCTATCAGGCTGGACGCGGGGCACTGTGGAGTCAACGAAGAAACCGAGGCTCACTGCAGCATCTTTTGCCTTTGGTGCCGTCTGCATTTAATCTCTTGTTGGCATCAATGGTCATCGAATCCCCTGTACTTTATTCACATTTCAGGGCTTGAAGAATCAGGCCCGGGTCAAGCTGAATATCGTGAGATGTCCCCCAGTGACCACCGTGTTGATCAGGAGACCAGACCTTCGCTACCAGCTGGGGTTCAGTGTCCAGAACGGAATCGTAAGTACAACCCCACACCTTTTCTAAAAGTCTGACACACGAAACCGCAGCCCAGGGTTGGAGTTTTGGGGCTGTTCTTGAAAGCTCATCATTTTCCAGAAAGAATCCAGCAAGGAAGGGACGAATGGTTGAAGGCAGACTCACTTCCTCCATGGGCAGAGAATTCTGTGCCTTCTGTGGGGGAAGAGAGGGACCCTCCCAGATCCATGTGCCCCAGAGCCCAGCGACTCTCTGATGCGCAGGGTGACCCTCCCAGCTGCCAGCTTGAGATAGTTTGAGATACCCACCTTCCCAACCCCCCTAGCCAGCAGCTTCCCAGGGCGGTGGGTGAAGAGCCCTTGGGGCTGGGCTTCCAAATCCTTGGTGGTACCAGCTCAGCCCAGGCTGAGAACCCAGCCCTGTGGGTTATGCCTGAATGATCTCTGCCTTGCCTTTTTAACCTGAATTTGGCACTTGGGAGATAAAGAGTAGTTTCATCACCTGGATGTCTGCCTTCAAATACTTCCTTTCCACCCCCCCTTTATTGTGATAAAACATACACAACATTAAGTTTGCCATTTAAACCATTTTTAAGCATACAGTTCAGTGCCTTTAAGTACATTCAAAAAGTTGTTGTGTCCATCAGTGCTATTTCCAGAACTTTTTCTTCATCCCAAACAGAAACTCCATACTCAATACTACTCCCTTTTTGTCCTGGTTTGCCTTGTTCTGGACTCATAGTAGTTCTGGGCTTTGGTGACCAATCTGTAACCTTCTTGATGTTATGTATTTTGGATGTGCCCTCCTTCTCTCTGCATTCATCTTTGCAGATAGAAAAACCCTATTCTTTTTCCTCCCTGAATTTTTTTTTTATAAATTTATTTTATTTATTTATTTATTTTTGGCTGTATTGGGTCTTCATTGCCGCACACAGGCTTTCTCTAGCTGCGGCGAGCGGGGGCTGTTCTTCGCTGTGGTACGTGGGCTTCTCATTGTGGTGGCTTCTCGTTGCAGAGCACGGGTTCTAGGCGTGTGGCCTTCATTAGTTGTGGCTCGCGGGCTCTAGAGTACAGGCTCAGCAGTTGTGGCGCACGGGCTTAGTTGCTCTGCAGCATGTGGGATCTTCCCCGACCAGGGATCGAACCCGTGTCCCCTGCATTGGCAGGCAGATTCTTAACCACTGCCCCACCAGGGTAGTCCCCTGCATAGGCTTTTAAAGAAAGGCGCACAGTCAGGAGTGAAAAGTCAGCTCTGTAAATTCAAACCATGTTCTTTTGGGAAATTCCGATTGCTTTGTGTGTGAGGTAGGGGTGGCTATCCTGCAGCGCTGAGGCCCAGAGCCCTCCCCCAGCCTGCAGCCTCTGCCCACCGCAGTGCCTGGCTACACTGAGACGAAAACCAGCCATGTTATCATTTCTGCCAGAGGGAGTTTGAACAAGAACCACTGAGTTGGGACAGCCAAAGGGAGCTTCTGCCTTCTAGCTGGCCACACTTTGGAACACGAAGTGGGGTTCTAGCAGGTTCTAGCCCCATTTTAACTCAGGTAACTGTGACCCTAAAAAGTGGGCTGCTAGCATTACACAGTTCAGTGTTTGAGTCCCAGATAATACTAAACTGTGTTACACAGGCTGACAGTTCGAAAACATTGGCAGCTCTGTGACAGGCCCAAACAGCTCTTTTTACCAAGACCGAGCTGGGATGAAAAGTACTCAGAATTCACTGTGCCGTGAAATCCAGTGACGTGCTGCGTCCCCTGTGCAGAGTGCGAGAACAAGGGGGCCATCTGGGCATCCAGAGTCCTAGCTCTTATAAAAAGAAACAAAGAGATGTAAATGTCCACAGCCTGACCATGGCACCTCCTCAGAGATGACAGTGCTGGGGATGGGGGATTCTAGAAAAGATAGTCTCCCACCCCCACCCAGTTCCCTAGCAGGTGATGCAGGCCAGGGTGGGTAACTTGGCCTTTGACTCTGATAGATCTGCAGCCTCATGCGAGGGGGAATAGCGGAGAGAGGAGGTGTCCGCGTGGGACATCGCATCATTGAAATCAATGGGCAGAGCGTGGTCGCCACCCCACACGAGAAGATCGTGCACATCCTCTCCAATGCTGTTGGGGAGGTAAGGGAGAGTCGGGGGCTGGGGGTCCCCTGGTGCGCTCGCCCCCTCCATGGAAGCCCTCCTGAGTGTCCTTCCCTGTCCTCAGCACACCTCCACACTGAACAGTCTGTCTCGGACCAGAATTTAAACGTGGTAACGAGTGGTTATCTTAGAGCTGCTCCTCAAAATCCCGTCACGTCACCCTCAGCCTTCTCCTCTGGCATCACTTGCCCACCTCCTCTTTTTAGTTCTCCGATCTGGGCATCTTCTCGCCATAGCTGCCCAAGTTCTCTCCATTTTTCCCAGCTAATCCTGCCAAATGTGCCTGGAAGATTTTAATTCAGATTCAAACCTAATCAACAGCTCCCCAGAGACAGTTCCCTGGTATGGCTGGGCAGGGGTCAGAACAGCTGTTCTGGGGCTGATTTCCTGCTGGGGGGAGGGAGGGAGGCAGGAGCAGCAAAACCCCACAGTGGTCCTTCTGTTTTAAGGGTTTGTCCTTTTGAGAAAAAAAAAAAAAAGGCCTGGTGAGAGCAAGAGCTTTTAGGAAATAAACCACCTTACCTGGTTTTCACTGTTCACTCTCTGTCACCCCTAACTTTTTAGAAGCCCATGGATTCCGTACTTCCTGGAGGCCACCTGGGTCAGGCCCCTGTTAGGAATGGTGGGGGGACGAGGGGTGTACCTTCAAAGGCGTCCCACGGCAAGAGGTGCCGCCTCTCCCGCTAGCCCTGGGGCAGTGCCCACACAGCTCCCGAAGCCTCGGTCCCCCCGCTAAAGTGCGTTTCTGCCCTCAGATTCACATGAAGACGATGCCGGCTGCCATGTACAGACTGCTGACGGCCCAGGAACAGCCCGTCTACATCTGAGGCTACGCCCACCCCCCCGGGCAGCATGCATGGAGGACTCTCCTCACTTGTGGTTGTGTTTCTCGTGCTACATCTGTGTGCCCACTGAGACATTCCCCTCTCATACCCAGCACTCGGTTTGACACAGAAGGAAAAGAATCCACAGAGACCTCCTTCTCTGTCTCTCTCTAGTTTGCTTTTCTTGTTGTTTTTAACACCAGGGAAGTATTGTATGCACTCCCTTGAGGCTGGAGAGCAGCCAGTATCCACCCAGAATCTGCCCAGGACCATCCTGAAGGGCCCTTGGGGGTCCTGAAGAGGGTTGTCACCGCTCAGGAAGGATCTTCCCTTCCCAAGGGGTGCAGACCTCTTAGAAGGAACTCCTAGGGGTGGTGAAGAAGCCGATTCGGCAGTGCCTACGATCCAACCACTGATCTCTGCTCTCTTCCAGTCAATTTCTGGGAATATGGTAGTAACAGGGAGGACCAGCCCGTGTCTTTACGGATATGCCTGCCCACGATGTACGTGGGGCATCATACGTTATTTCTGCCCAGAATTTCTGAGCCAACCTTATGCCTCTTCTACAGTTTTAGTTTCAATATAACTGTGTTTTCTAATGCAAACCTTTTCACCCAGGATAGAAGGGGAACTGCCATGGACAAGAATACCTTCGTGTTGCAGAGAACTGGGCGATTCCCAGGGCACTCGTGGCTTCCCAAGGTTAGCAACCATTAGTTAAACACAGGCAGGTGCTTCCTGCCTCCTTCTACATCACACGTAGGTACACAGTCTCACTTGCATATATTTCAGCCTTCCCTCCTCCCTGCCACCAGTGAGGCACCCAGAGCCCCTGGAAAACCCACGTCACCTCCCTATGAGGCCCCTTCCCCCAGCAGGTGAGGCCTGCAGGGACTGGTGAGCCCTGTCTGGAGAGAACCGCCCCTCTGAGGCTGAGGCCTGGCCCTGCCAGCACCGCCTTGGCTAGAAGTGTTCTGGTTGACTCCCCTCGCGCCTCCACCCCCGGCACACACATCCCACATTGGGAGTCTGGGAGCGATGGACTGTTCCCCTTGAAGATGAGGCCCGGTGGAATCATGTTATGCTTCCTGGCCCAAGGTGGGACCAGCCTTGTTCTCCACTCAGGACCATGAGGCAGGATGTGACATTTGAGGGCCCAGAACAGTATATAAACCACAAAACTAAGGGGACAATCATGACCTCAAGCGATGCCTAAGACGCCCCAAATGTGTTCCAGAAACATCTTGCTGCCTCCTAGGCCTGAAAAAGCTTTTATTTGGTGTGGAACGTTACGTGTTTTATCAGGTGCCTCATGTCCATGGGTTTTGTCTCTGTTTGGTGCAGATGTTTTAGTAATATCATGATTCTGAGCCAGTTTTCACTTACTCTTGGTCCAAAGAGCATTTTGTTTTCATGTGGGTGGGGTGTGGCTTGGTTTGGTTTTTGTTTTGTTTTGCTCGTGACCTCTGCAAAGACAGGGGAAGAGAAACTAATATATTTTGTGATATTAATACAGTCCCTGTTCTCAACATCTGCGTTATTTATGTTGTGTCCATGGAAATAGGAACCCGGTGAGCACGTGTTGGATAGTATGGATTTATACGTCGAATGGAGGGATTTCAGGGAGGGAGAAAGTGAATATGAAAAGATTGGGAACAAGATACTTGTGCCAGAGAGCTGTGTGGTCAGTGCCCCTGGGATCTCTGTGCCACCTTGAGTTTTCTGCTTAAGAGTCAGGAAAGCCGGTTGTTTCAGTGGCGTCAGTGGCTGGACTCCCAGTGTGACCGTGGGACAGGTCCTGCTGA